CATTTTGGCGACCGAGGGGGCAAGTGGCTCTGCTGCCCACGTTGAAGCATATCCCGACTCTGATAGGTGCAGGCCTTCTTGTTGACTTTCCGGCCTGTTGTTTGGCCGGTCTGCCTCCGTTCTCACCGCAAGGGAGACGGATCTCCACAAGGTGAGCTCCAGTGACCTTTCCCTTTACCCTTGTCCTCCGGGCACGGATGGCGGTCCAGAAGTGCAGATCTTGCTGCAATCTGTCTGCACCTCAAGCCGGCCTTTGATGCCCAAGCAACTGCTCTCGCTTGTCCACTGATGCAAATAATCATTTATGTCAGCGTTTTCCAGAACACATAGATGTTGGGCGGTGTGGTCGAGAAGCTTGTGTGGCAGTTGATGCAGTTGAGGAGGACTCTCCGGGGCACCATGATGCGATGTGTTCGAGTCCGCGTACTTTGGGAGGACTGTCCCGGCATAGCTCGTCATGAAGACCTGGCTCGCTGCCCATGCCTATAGAATCATCGTTGACCAAACTGAAGTACGCCGGGTGCTCGTGAGCAGTTTGGTCCGTGACAAAGCCACAGTTCTGCAGGTCTCGGCAGAGTTGGGCACCTAGCCCATTCGCAATTGAGACCCGGTGGCCATCCCGACGTCAAAAAACTTGAAGCCCGCATTGACCCCATCGTCCACCGTCTTCAGGGCTGTCTCCAACTGCTTCGCGATGTTGTGCAACTCCAGCACGATCTGCCTTGTACCCGTGGTCATGACATCCGGGGTGTCGCCTTTCCCGTAAGCCACTCTTCACCTTGGCCGGCTCGTTACCCATAGCACCAGTGCCCGAATCGCGGCTTGGTGAATGGGAGTGACATTGAAGTAGAACATAGTAGAACAAGGGTTGTGTTGCATTGTGGCGATTGTGTTCAAAATGACCCCCAAAGTTTTTTGGTCTGCGCCAGTCTGCCCTACAGCGGGCCACGGTTGGACCGAAGTACCTCGGGTACAGGTGCCAGTACTTCGCGGTTGTCCTCTGGAACAGTGAGCACTGAAAGCCTTGTTGCGGCCATGAATCCCAGGGACCGCTTCTCAGAGATTTTTGAAGTGCAAAGTGGGCTCTCGAGTTGTTAGGGCGCGCGCACACACATGTGTTGACACAGATTGCTTGACACATGACATGGTTGATGGATGTTGGGGTTTCATGGGCTTTGAAGATTTGAAGAAGCCGAGGCCGCCACAAATAAGGGCTTGGAGTCGCTTCTGGGAGAAGAGGCACTGGCACAAAGTCGCCCTTACTTAGCTTTGGCTCACGATTCCTCCAAGGGCGTCAACTTGACGTTCCCCGAGTTTGGGCGCAAAGCGTCGCAACGCAGAAAGGCGCATCTGGGAGTTGCCATGGCTCTGTGGTTATGACGTGTAATGTTACTGTATGTTTGAGTTGGATGTACGTTTTGTGTCTTCCTGCTGGGATCCGATGCTAGCATGAGAACATCCGAGAGACCTCTGCTTCGACTCATGTCTTCTCAGGTGGAACGCAAGAAGATGCAAACGGTCTGGACCCGGGTCTTTCCGAGCAGAACAGTGTGAGAATCTGCACAGGCTGTACCCTTGAAGAGCTATTCAGCTACTGTTGATGACTATTGTTTTCAATTGCTTGAGGCTTTGCTCCAAGATGGCATAAGAGACATGCAGCGCTTGAATTTGGTCCACAGTCCCTTCTCTTGAAAATTCAGAACAAGCCAAGGCTCTTGGACCGAGTTTTGAGAAACAACTTCAACCGAAATCGAACTACCATGGAAGAAACTGCAGGGCTTTGGAGGTTGTGACTGAATTCCCTGTTGCATGTCAGGTCGATGACACGGACGTCAGATCACTGAGGCGCGAGTTGAACATTTTTGTATCACGCCTCAAATCTTCGCCCAAGTCCAAGCGGAGCTTTTGGGCTCCTTTTCTGAGGCGTCTCGTCGGCAACTCGCTGCCGGAGCCTTTGGGCATTTGGGGTACGCATTCCGGCATTCCGGGGTTCGAAGCTGATCTCTGCAGGTGCCGTTCCCAGGTTCCCAATCTTGAGCTCAACTTCTGCCAAAAGCTGGAACATGGCAGAAGGATGAAATGTCTGAAATGCAATGTAGATAGACGAGGAAGAACATGACATGGAAGAATTGCAAGCGCCATCAGAGCGGAGATAACGACGTGCAAGCGTGAGTACACAACGAGCGAGAATGAAGGCGACAATCAGTGAATGACGGCCAAGAAACGCAAGCACAACCGAGGCAAAGAAAGGGAGCTGTAGGAAAATGGAAGATGATTCAGTGGAGTCGTGCGGATACCCATGGAGGAAGCGCAAGAACCAATGCAAACTTCTGGTTGAATAGTAAGCAGGTGGACGGAATTGCAAACAGAAGAAAACAACCGGAACTGCAAGCACAGCGTTTGTTGGCAGTTTGCAGAGAGTGTCCTGCCCCATGGTGCTAGCGTTGGTCAAGGCCTTGCATTGTGATGTATGCTTCTGAAACAGCAGGCCAGACTTTGTACGCTCCGTGATGAGACGACTAGGTTTTCGGATCGCATTCGCACGTGCAAGTATTGCAGCAGCCATGTTTCAAGCTTGCAAAATATGATGACCTTCTGGGGGGGGGAGGGGGCGGAGGCTTCCGTAAAGGAGACTCCACAATTTTTGGCTTGTCGACAAAGGGAGAAGCTATTGCACAAAAAAGGCAGCTAAACTTGCCCAGAGCGCAATCAACAGCAACTCGGATTTCAGGAGATTTTGCTTAGCTGGACCCCCCTTGCCCCCCCTTGCCCCTGCCCCCTCCCAAAGACATCCCCGAGAAGTGTTGATGCTTGTTGCCCGTATTTTCGTTCTGTTATTCACGAAGGTTTGTACATTGCAGGTGTTCCTGCAACCTTAAACATTATTATGCATGCACTTCAATCAGACTCTTCCTCGCCCTGCAAGTTTCATCGGCCGAACTAGCTTTTGCAAAAAGCACCACAACCTAACCCCTAAGGGCTTACTGCCGCGTTGCCGATAGCTCGTTCAGCAAGCCAAAAGCAGACATGTCCAGCTCGCAAGCATGCTATGGCTCGCATTGCTATAAACGCTGCTTGCTTAGCACTTCCATGCACTTCTTTACTTGCACCACTTTCTGGCAAATTTCCATAGACATGTGTTCCGGCAAATTCTCATAGGAGTTCGCTAGCAGTACTCAAAACCTTGCTTGCACCATGCAGTTCCCGAGCAACTTCGGGAGCAGGTGCCTGGATTGGAGAGAGCAGTTCGATGAAGCGTACAAAGTGAACCTGGATATTTGGTTCTGTGGGTTCTTGGTATCTGGCAAAATGGTAAAGCACAATGTTAAGGAGGGACAAGAACACAGACAATGGTGCTCCCACAGAAAACCGTTTTCTGTTCTAAAGGCGGGGCAGGTTTTGTGTGCTGAAGCTGCACTGACCTTGCAGCAGTTTCCCATGCAAGATGCGCACATGTTCCACTACCTCAGAGACTTGCTACCATCCGCCTTGGTAGCAGGGATTACAGTGGGCAGCAGCTGTGCCAATCCTCTCGGACTGATTGGAGTTGCCATTCATCATCGGTTTTTGAGTCGAAGGTCGAAGGTCCTGTGAGCACGCGTCGTTGTTCCACCCGCATCCAGCACACATCTTCTCGGAACCTGTGCAAGGTTCTTATTGGTTCGGTATGGTTCAGCCAACAAATGGACATTCCCGAAGGACCGCTCCGCTGCTCTGTGTTGCTTCCGTGATGGATACTGAATGCGTTGAAAGGCGGATCGGCAGCAGGGCCAAACAATGCGAGAAACTCTGTCTGCTTCTTACATTTTTACACATACTCGGAAAAACCTGTATGGTGAGTTGTGTGCGTGCACGTTGTTATTGCCGTTCTGTTCTGTTGCATCCGAAAGCTGTGCCAGGCTAGCGCTGGCAGAGCAGCAGCTGGGACAAGACTTCATGCCATATTTGGCAGCGCTCTCATCATAATCATCAAGATACCCATCATTTTGTGGCTTCTTTTGTGCTTCATTGTAAGGGTCACCACCTTCACCACCCAAGGTCGGAGCGTGTCCTTTCACTTACAGGAAGCGCAAGAGCTCGCAGCATCCTGGCATTCAGGCCAGGGCTGCTTGCTCTGTTTGCCTGTCTTAAAAAGTCCAATTGTGGACCTTAAACGCACCCAAAGCTTCAGCTCAGCTTTGGACAAGTGCATGGCAGGGCCGCAAAATCTTCTACTATCGAGCCCGGATGGTGCCAGGTTCAGAGCAAGTGCCTCAAACCAGCCCAAACACTCTACAGATTCTGGGTCTGTTTAACGTATGCTACTTGTGCTGTGCTCTGTTTCGCAGGCTGAAGGCTTATGTTGGTTTGTATTCCGAATATCTAGTTCAACTTGCTGCACATATCAGTGCAAGCATTCCGGAGCAAACCGAAAAGATTTGCGACTTGAGCGAGGTTCTTTCTTGGAGTCCATGGCCATGTCTTACTCGGTTTACTAGATGCGATAAGTCCGATACGTGTCTAATCCAGAACACTGGTGGGCATCCTCAGACTGAGGCTAGTCCTTCCCGGTGAGACGCCAGTAAAAGACTGGGCGTGGTGCTCCAGAAAGGACTATGAGCTTTCCATGCTTCGCTGGAGTTTGACTCATGTCGGCACGTTTGTGGCAGTCCGAAAACTGGCCATGGCAGGAGCTAGAAGCACACCTTGACGAAGGTGAATGGCCCGGGTCTCATGTTGTTCAGGTGTAACCCGTACCTGCCAGCTCCCAAGCCTTACCAAGCAGTATTTTTGCCTGTTGCAAGCAGCTGCATGCGCCAACATATGCCAAGTGGGCCAACTCCAAGCATATTGCCTTTGAGCTTGTTAGCTTCCACAACGGACTGGACAAACTCCCATGGCTTGGTTAAGAGTCTTTCCTACATGTCTACATGTGTCTACCATCTACAGTCGTTTGCTACACTTGAGCTAGAACTCGGGTACCTCAGTGTCGCCATGGTCGGGTCGGTACCCGCAATGTAATGGAGTGGCCTGGTGAATGCTGTGTGGGGTGCTTGGCCTTGTGGAGAAAGACTGCGATTGCGGCAGCCCCGGCAATCACGAAAAAGGACTGTCCCGAATGCATCTTGGTGAACATCCCCGGCCGCCGAGTCCAGGAAGCCTTCAAGGTGAAGAGGAAGACGCTGGGAAAGGGTGGTTTTAGCACGGTCAAGCGATTGATCAATAGAAGAACGGGGGCAGTCTGCGTCATGAAAGAAGTTCGAAAAAACTCCATCGCCGACATGCAGCTCCTTCAAGAGGAGGTGAAACTACAGGCCTCCATGGACCATCCTCACATTGCACGACTTTTCGAAACTTTTGAGGATTCGCAGCACATTGACATAGTGATGGAGCTTTGTGAGGGTGGAGATGTGTTGCATTTAATCGAGAAATCTGGATGCTTGACGGAGATTTTGTCCTCGGACATTTTCCGGCAGCTGATGCTGGCAGTGAGTTACATGCACCAAAAAGCCCAGGTGGTGCACCGGGACATCAAGCCAGAGAACCTGGTCCTCAAAGAGACAACAGAGAGGGTGTTAGACCTGTTAGACCCTTGTCTCCAGAACTCTCACTCCTTTCCATCCTCTCCATCCTCTCCATCCTCTCACTCCCCGCGCCCTCATCTCACGATCAAGCTCATCGACTTCGGCTTTGCACGAAAACTGGAAACCGGAGTGAGATTGAAGACCATCTGTGGAACGCCTTTGTATGTTGCCCCAGAGGTTTTCACTGGCAGCTACTGCGAGAAGTGTGACATATGGAGCAGCGGTGTCACTTTGTACTACATGCTTCTTGGCCGACCCCCTTTCGATGGAGATGATGTTGACGTGATTCTACGGAAAGCCCGGAAAGGCATGCAGCTTTCAGGAAGCATGGTGACAGAACTTGGTGGCCCAGTCCCATGTGGTGCTGTACAGCTTATTGGACGCATGTGTGATCTTTCAGACAGCTTGCGTCCTTCTGCTCATGAGATTCTGTTGGAAAGCTGCTGGCTCCGAGAAGAACAGGTCAGTGTGGAAATCAGAAGCGAGGTCACCGAAACCTCTGATGAGATTGCCAAGAACCTGCGAAAGTATACTTTAATGAATCCGCTGAAAAAAGCTGCCTTGAACACCATCGTACACGTCATTGACGACTCTGATCTGCAACGTCCTCGAGAGACCTTCGAGAGCTTGGACACGAGCTGCAAAGGCAGCATCCCCTTAGCTACTCTGCGCAAAACCATTTCCGAATCTGCCCTTGGTAAAGATGCAGACAGGATATGCAGCAGCTTGGATACAAGCGGTTTAGAAGAAATGGACTACAGCAACTGGCTGTCGGCAAACGTTAAGCCCCAGCAATACTTGAAGCAGGGTTACATATGGGAGGCCTTCCGCATACTGGACAAGGACAGCAGCGGCAAAATTTCTGCACCAGAGCTGCAGCAGGTGTTGGCACGAGCTTCTCCACATCTTGATGAGGCAGAATGCGAGCATCTTCTTGCTCAATTTGATAAGATGCTTGGCAGGACTTGTCGGCTACAGTAACGGAAAGAAAAGGGACGAATTTATGTTGGCTCTCACTAAAGAGGGCATGCCGATAAAGCAAAGATAGGCATATAGGACCAACAGCCATTTGGAATCAACAGCTTGCGCGAAAGCTGCACGCAACCTACGCATGCTAGATGTGACTGTACCGCACAAGGATTCGGTGGAAGCCAACATGTATTTCAAAAAGGGGTGGTCGAGCCTCCAATGTGAGAGAGGCAAGTAGAAGGCAATAGCATATGTGCTGGCTCAAGCAAACACACGAACTTGTAGCTCAGAGTTGGCAAGCCATCAAGTCGTGCAAGGCCAGTCAAAGTCTGGGTGAGTTTTCTGGAGGTTGTGTGGAGTTCAGGAGCAGGGTTTCCTTGACAGTCGTGTTCGTGAGTCCCTGGTAACCGTGCTACGTGACAGCGTGGACATGGCTTGCCGTGTTCTCACCAAACCCGGGGTCAAGACGATTACCCTTGAACACGTGACCTAGGAATCCAGGGTGCGCATCTTCGTGAGGGGGGAGGGGGCAAACTTCGCCTGAATCTTATTGTCTTGTGGATCTTGTGGAAACAATGACAAAGCTGAGCCACTATTTTCCGGATTCGCGGGCCTCCAGTCCCTGATTTGGCACCGTTTGTCGTAGTTTGTCGTTTCATGTCATCGCGTTCCAAAACAGGGTTTGACCTGAACCTTGCTGTGCTTCCGGTCACTTCCGATACTTTCCTGCCGTATGCAAGCTAATGTTCAAGTCAAAAAATCTGTCAGAACAAGACCTTGCTACATGCATCTTGTGAGACTCCCGCAACAATTTTTTCCGCTCAACTAGCAGCAAAGATGGAACGTGCACATGCCTGGGGCGTTCGTGTACGCATTCGGCTGTCGGGGATTTATCACGTGTTTAAACTTCATTTTGATGCCTCTACGTTCTTCGTGCACATTCAGTTTTTTGCCTGTTTGGTTGAGGAACGGGGACGGCGAGATGGACTTCGAAGAGTTTCAAGACATGCTGCGAGCATCATCATCTTCTCATGATGATGCAGCTACAGGACCATCTTCTAGACGGCCTTTTCGATTGAAAACTGCACCGTAAATCCGTAACGAAGGTTTCAAGGAAGTACAGAATGAGATGTGACATGGATATCGGTGCATTGCCTTCCGCATGATTGCCACGCAGTACTCGGTACTCCACTTCACGAGTTGTCGCCAAGTGATAGCTCAGCCAAAAACTTCAATGGCATGGAATTGCATGCAGGGACTTCGGATGCATGCTTCACGGGCGTGCATGTGTTCTGTACAGATGCAGATCGGAGGCTTCTGCAAATGCAAGTCATGCCAGGCAAAAAAGCAAGCCATGGTTTCAAACTTAAATACAGTGAAAATTTTGGCGGATTTGATGGCAGCGAGCAGCCGCCTGAAGAGGTTCAGGTAGAGGGCAGGGCAAACTGGCCAGTTCGAACGCGATTTCATGTTCATTCAGTAGCACCCATCGAGGCCTCAAGAATGCAATGTAATCACACATGTCTACGCGAGCCATGTCGGTGAGTAGGTGCGGGAGGATTTCATGAATGAATCCATGAACATGTGTGTATGTGTACGTGTATGTATACGTGTATGTGTACGTGTATGCGTACGTGTATATATGTACGTATGTGTGTGTGTGTGTGTGTTTGCTTGGATGTGTCGGCGATTGTCAAGGCATGCTGTCCGGGATTCCTTGCCGCTCGACGATTTGAGCGACAGGCTGCAACCCTATGATGCTAGCTGAAAAAGACAGTGTGCTCATGCTGTTCGGCATTGTCTTTGGAAGAACGGCCATGGACCATCATGGACCATGACACAGCGTGCAGCGTGCAGCGTGCTATTGGAAATACCCTCGGCAGTTGCCCGCTTATGTCTTTTCTTTGGCCCAGAAGCGCAAAGCCGCTTTGACAGCCCGGCTTTGTGCCGCAGGCGCGCCACAGGCGCGCCGCACGTCCAAAGAAAGGCCTGTGTTTGCTCTGTAGAAAGTTGAGTTAAGGCTGTTAAGGCGTGCGATGGCTGCAGAACCGACGGCTGACGAACTGCCAGGGCTGCCTGACTCTGACAAGGCTTGGGCTGCGTGCTGTGATGCTGCGCACTTGGGTTTTGCACATTTGGGTACTCTTGGTCCGCAGGTCTACCTCGGAGCAGTGAAGTCATACAATGATCGCAGAGGATTTGGCTTTGTTGCTTGTGGCTTGATGCATTGGATACCATTGGATCGGGTGCACATTGCTATTCAAGTTGACTCTACATGTTGTGATGTATCGAGGTGCTGAAACAGCAGCAGAGTTTGGAAGAGATGTGCCACTGCTTGAAATGGACGTAACACTACGAGAAGAGACTTTGGCCTAGTTGTGCGACTGTTGCTTCCCCAGGTGTACATGGCAAAGCTCGAGGCTGTTTTTGTGAATTCTGTGGTTCGCTGCCTCCTTGAACATGGAATTCGATTCACGTGTGACAACCGTTGCCCGTCAGATTGGCTCGATAGCAGGAACCTTTCATGCCAATACAAACTTTCAGTCCCGGTCACATCCACTCGCAGCAACCCGCCAACCCACCCACCCTCCCACCCACCCACCCAAGCACCCGCGCACACGGAGGCAGAAAGAAACACACAGAGGCAGAGACGCAGAGACGCAAAGACGTAGAGACGCAAAGACGCAGGACGCAGAGATGCAGAGACGCAGAGACGCAGAACGCAGAGGCGCAGAGACGCAGAGACACAGAAAAGCAAAGACACACACACACACACGCGCGCACACACGCGCACACACACACACACACCCACACACAGACAGACAGACAGACAGACAGACAGACAGACAGACCGAGAGACAGAGAGACAGACAGACACACAGACAGACAGACAGACAGACAGACAGACAGACACACACACAATATCACACAATATCACACAATCTCACACTCTCACACAATCACACAATCACACAATCATACACAATCACACACAATCACACACAATCACACACAATCACACACGATCACACACAATCGCACACAATCACAGACAATCACACACAATCACAGACAATCACACACAATCACACACGATCACACACAATCGCACACAATCACAGACAATCACACACAATCACAGACAATCACACACAATCACACACAATCACACACACTCACACACAATCACACACAATCACACACAATCACACACACACACAATCACACACAATCACACACACACACACACTCACACACACACACACACACACACACACACACACA